CTAACTACCTCGAGGCAGAAGCAAAATTAACACTTTCAAGTACAACGGAAATGCCGAGGTTTCAAGATGAGAGAACTTGGAATTCAATGTCAAGCATTAAAGCATTTTGCAAACGCTTGGGACACATTTTATGACGAAGCAAATGAGCGCATATACAAACAGTCGCAACCTCCATGCCATTTTTGTGAGTTGATGGAGTGACTGCTCGGTCCACTTATGTGTGCAGCACAGTGATGTAACGCAGGGGGAACGATTCCGCAGCATTTCCTCTGAGTTGAGGCAAGCTCAGTGCCTCTTGTAGGAAGCCTTAATTCGGTGCTTGCATCCGTGTGAAATTTCACAGTAGCTATGAGCCATATAGTTTGACAGATGCGCTTATTCAAATGAGTATTGTTTTTATTACTAACACACGCCCGCTTTTCTTCATTTGCCTAGAATTGACGTGAGCCCTCAGCGGCAGTGTGTCCCAACAGCGTCGTCGTCGTCTTGTGAATTGCTCTATTAGCACATGAATACTGTACCCAGTCCCCTGCGCATTTTGCAATGCTCGAAATGCAAAAGTATAGGGAATGAATTGTATTTCACCCTCGATTTCCTTGCTATTGCCGTACTGCTACTAGTTCCTGGTCAACCGACAGTTTGTGACAGATTGATCCGTCGCAAAGTGTGGCACCGCCATAACTTTTGTTAAGCTACTCCAAACACGTTGAATGTAACATCAACCGAAAGCTCTACCCGTTAAAAATTTATATATGTAAAAACTTCTCGTTTGCTATAATTTTTTTGCTTTCATTTTTATGGAAATGAAAAATGAGTATCTTATCACCTAGAATGTCATTCGAGGATATGTCAACCAGGCGGCTACGCACGCTCTCGCGCGCGCTAGGGGCTCTAGCCATGAGAGACGGAGCCACATGAGCTGACTTTCATTGAAGACCTTTATCGGATTTGTGAGTTTCCGCTCAAACCCCGCCCCCGTAGGCGGAGTATGATCCAGCCACCCACCATAAGTGTTCCCATCCTGTCGCCTGTACTCGTTCCAACTTTGAACTTTCTAGGTCCATGGGGACAGGAGTTGTGAATTTCGCCCAAACCCCGCCCCTTGTGGGCGGAGTCTGGTTCTGCGACCCACCGTAAGCCGTCCCATCCTGTCGTCTGTACTCCTACCAAGTTTGAACTCTCTAGGTCCATGGGGACAGGAGTTGTGAATTTCGCCCAAACCCCGTCCCTTGTGGGCGGAGTCTGGTTCTGCCACCCACCATAAGTTTCCCACTATGGCGCCTGTACTCCTATCAAGTTTGAACTTTCCAGTTCCATGGGAACTGGAGTTATGGATTTTCGTATATAAATGCAAGAAGGGATGTGAGCTTCGAGGCACGCTTCGCCCATTGTGGGCGGCCTCCGCTGACGTCATTTATGCTGGAGACATCTTCGACAATGCCCCTCACATATCAACTTTTTTCCTGCTCTGTTGGCTTTCTCCAAACCGAGTTGTAAATGTTTTCATAAAGCATTGCATTTCTGGAGAACGCCCACCCATCGGGGGTGGGTCTCTCCAGTTCGATCTAACTAACCAACGCACACCTCTAGCCACCTTTGAACCCCAGTTTTGAAGCCGTCCTGTGATTGAATTCGAAATCACGGTCCTCAGTACAGCTCATTTCGATGCACTCCACGCCCACTGTAGGCGGGGCTCCGCCAAGCTGATGTGTGCTTTATACTTCTCGGGATATGGCCCACCCATCCCACGCTTGACCCGGTCTCTCTAGGCAGATTTAAAGGAGGTAAGGAATTTCGTGACAGACATACAGACAGCCAGACAGACAAACAGACTAAGCGCTTTATAGTAAGTAGGATAGCGTTAGCCCTTCAATTCGATTGGAAACTCTGTTCACATATTTTTAAATCTTTGACTGACAACACATTCAAGGAGGGCATGAAGTCCTTATCACTTTAATATTCTCCGTGACATAAGTTGAACACTTTCAGCTGAAACCAGTGGTTCAAATGAAAATTTTTTCAGTCATGTGCTACTTCTTTCCGGCCTATTCGAGTCAAATCTGTTTGAATGGAATGCCAATGAAGCGCCCTGCTTATGAATAATCCAGTCATACAATGAACTTTTGATTTTTTTTTCAATTTTGCAGCCTCATTCACAGGGAAGGAAAAGAGTAAGTCTTGACGAACTTGAGGTTTCGCTTGCGGACGTAACATCATCGCAGAGCATGCAGGCCGACTGAATATTATAATACATTCTAGATTTTTTGGAAGGCATAAATGACGTTACATTCTAGGAGATCGTGGGAATGTATTCGTTTTTATGTCCTGACTTGAAAAACGGCAACAGTCAGACATCCCTGTTACCTGGTTATTGTACGATATCATGTTGAGTGAATCGTCTTCTAATTGAACGTTGAGCCAATTGACACCTCGCTATCGGTCTCTGGTAGCCCATCGTCTTCGCCGGTGCCGTGTCCACCCAAGGGCAGAAAAACAAATTGGTATGCAGCTGGCACAATAAAACGTCAACGCTGTGAGGGATACAGTCCACTTATGTATCAAATCTATATTAATATTGAATCTACTTGCACTACTTGAAACGCTTGCAACATCACCTTTTAACTGTTCGAAACCGCTTACTTCATTTGCTGTCTCCCTGCGCCATTGGACCGGTTGAACTTGTAAGCACTTCGGCGAACCGATTGACAACGGATTGAGCTGGTACTTGTAGGAGCAGCAAATGGCAGAATTCTTCGACGTCTCACCTCATGTTATGACTTGGTTTGCTTCCAATCTACCTGTGAGACAATTCAGAAAAATCTAGTATAGTTCTTCATAACAATGTAAAACAGTGCAATAAGTCTTCAAGGTTGGACTCATGTGCCTCTAGAGACACATAAATATAGCGAACCAATGAGCCCAAAGGAGAGCGATAGCGAGGGGCCAGGTTTTTGGCCCTACCACTATCCAACAGGTGGACATCTGGAAAAAACGGATAAGTTGTTGGAGTGAATATTTATACAATCCGGATGAATTTAGATTAACAGTCGTCATAAGAATGACTTTTCTTCAAACTCAAAGCATCTAATTTCAATTGATCTAATTTTCAGATAGGAAGTAACAAATGCATAGGGTTGGCCAATCTAAATAAATGGTTTTGTTTTGTGAAGCAAAAGGACCTGTCAAGACATGTCGAGTTATTCAGTCGTGACTTGCCTGCACTCTTGAAAGCCACTATAAAATAGTTATGACATAAACTTCAAAATTTTAGTGAAAAGGCTGATATTTATAGTCTCCATACGCCGAACTGCAAACTATAGTTGAAGTAAAGAAGGCAATGTAAAAGAAGATTTCAGAGCAGAGTGTTGAGGTCATGATAGCATACCCAGTTTGGTGTTTAAACATGGAAATCTGAGTATCATCTCATATGTGACGCAGGTACGCTCGTAAAAGGTCCTAGAGAAAGGGCTATAGCAGAGCGATGAGCTAACAGAGGTCGATATTGAGGGGTCAATTCTTTCAACGGTCATTCAGAAGGCGATCCAATCACCTAACTTCAAAGTTAGTGACAATAGTAGCACAGAGACAGGAACCGAGTTTTTCTATTACTCTTTTCAATCCATATCATTAGTGGACAACACTGAAAGCATTCGTAAAATATGCCTAATTAAAACGTGCTGAGGAATTCCAAATGAACCTTTATGACCACATTCCGATGACATAGCTCTGCATACATTTCTTATTCCATGATTCGAGCTTCTGAATGAGTGCAGAATTAGTTGGTTCCTCTGAGATGGACTGCTGGAGAGTATTCGCTATTTTCTGGAAAATTGGTAAACTGGACTGGCCGAAAGTTCGAAAAGATCATGAAAATTCATTACATATCTAGAGCCCCCATTACTGGAATTCTTCATTGGTGATCCACATAAAACATATAGCTGAAAGAGTTCGCTAGTTATTGGAAGTTCGATTCTTTGAGCCACTGTTTTAGGCTGAATTTGTTTATTATTGTCACTATCTGTATCGAAATGATCACCTTTTCTTGCTTCCCTTGAATATTGTGCCACACAGATCTTTTAAACAGAAGTTGAAGTGGAGGGTCTATGTATGTACATATATGTCTATGCTGTTGTATTCGCAAGTGACAACCTAGGTGCCGAAAGACTCAATTTTCATTCTTCCTAAATATAAAGGCAAACATCAAGAAAATCAAGTATCAAGTATGGTTCTTGATTCCTCACGAGAGGAGCTTCCAGCTAATCTTACTTCCACCTTGATTGGAGAACTTTAGCAAATGTTATGGCATAAGGACGGCTTGCGACGGATTAATATGTGGCAATTAGAGAGAGACATAGGTTATAGGTTAGTATACAAGAAAAGACAAAAAAACAAAAAAGCAAACCGTAGGTTTGCTGCAAATTAGTAGCAGTATTGCTCTTAGCAGAAGGACTTTTGTTATTCAAGTGTTTATTCATGGATGATGTTGTTGCCCATTGTGCTTAAAAGAGCTCCTAGAAATATCCTACACCGACACGTGCGAAGCATGGTCAGCTTTGGCTTCTTCTTATGGCTTGCGGATGTGGATCTTTTACCTGCTGTTATAGTTGATCCTTATTTGCAGGCTACTGATGGCCGAAGGATGTACAGAAAGAGCCCTGTACCATTCAAAAAAAATGATGATTTTGCGGCAGTTGTCTCGTCTGACGGCACTCCCCCCCAAGCTTGTAACCGTCGCCCACTACTGCCAATATTTTCGACTGGAACACCGATAATATTGATTATGATTCTTCAAGACAATCATTCCTATCCATGAAGGGAGTGTTGCGAGGTCTCCACTCCCAACCTGGTTATGGAAACGAGTATCAGTGGTGAGTTCTTATATGGTAAAAGGTTAAATTCATGAAAATTGGTTGAAAAGCTATATTTCATTGGAGTATGTAACACAGGATTTGGGAATCGCTGTTAATTCAGTGTAGAAGTCCATCCACATAACTCTGAAGTATCTGTGAATTCCATCGGTGAATTGTGTGTTGAGTCAATAGCTTTTGAGATATCTGGTGAGATTTTTGCGCAGCTGTAGATTTACGTCCTGGAAGCGCCTTGTTTGAAAAATGGCATGGAGTTGTTTTAAACAGCACCAGCAATCATAAATACTGGATTCCGGACAGATTCGGCCATGGATTTCAGGAAGTAATGGTAGGAATTTTCACTCACCTACATTTTAGCACAGCCCATATCTGACGCCCCAAATCAGAACCAAAAATATCAAAACACTCAAAATCAAAACCGAGAATATCAATCACACGAAGAAGTCCAGTCTCCCTGCATATTCTGTGAAATGATACAGAACTATAAACTTGGAAGTGGCTAGTATAGCGCACTGATAGACAACAAATCCTATCAAGTTAGTATTCGCTCTGGAAGATTCTCCAAGTTCCTCTATAAATAAGCGTACACAATAACCTTCTGAAAACTCCGATAAGTGCTGATCACGCTAACAGCACACTGAATGAGCTCACGCAAAAAATTGAGCAGGTGCCTTCCATACCTCCACGAAGATAAATCTTCCATCAAAATTGTATGGTAAAGAAGAGGAATTCCCTGAGTCCATCATCGCGAAAATGCTGCTTCTAGAAGATAGCCTACGTGGAAGATCCGACAAGGCAATAAAGGGTATTCAGCTCCTCCCTCAAAACTATGACTGGATGATACAGACACTGCAAAAGAAATACGGCAACAACCCCGTCAACAGATCTCGTATCGTTCAGCAAATGCGCGCTCTCCAGCAAGCTGACTGAAGAGCTGAAAACAATGAGTGCGTATGCGACAAGGTATGCATGCTGCTCAATCAAATGGTATCTGCAGGACAAGACATTCGCATCACAGCGGATGCAATGTGGATAGAACTTATTCTAAGCAAGTTTTATGGTAACATCGTCGAACCGGTGCCCGTGAAAATGAGGGAGAATGAGGATGCCACATGCCGGAAATGATTGAAAACGAAATTGCAGCAAAATCCTACATTAAGTCTCGCATGCGACCAATGAAACAGAACAGATTGGATTAGGAGAACTCTATCGACAGAGACAAAAAGTGCGTGATCTTCCAAAAAGTCAGACACACAGCGTGGCAATGCAGATCTTTAATGACTGTTTCAGAAAGGCGAAAAGTTGCTGTTGAGATACGCTTGTGCTGGAAATGCTATTCACATTCCACAAACATTCTAGCAACGAGTGTGCAAGAGCGAACTGCTTGATGCGGCAAACATCATCGCATAAAAGCATGCCTTGCAACAGAAAATCCAAGTGAAGCCGCCAGCCGTCGCAACAGCGCCAATTACTATAGCGATACACGCCAAAACCCACGATCAAACGCAATAGTCGAAAATCAAGAATTTCTTGAAAAATGAAAGCCATAAGGATTTACGAAGGACGGAGTCTATGCAGGAAAAAGCTCACAACACCACTTTTCACATCAATGACGACTTCGCAGGAAACGGAGGGTTTCACGCATCTCATTCAGATCATACACTACAACGTGAAGAATTCCGGTATAAAACCACGCTGTCATCGAAAAACCGCACCGCAATGGCAATTAAGATCAGATTGTTCTTATGACCGCAGGGGGCCTCATATGGAACTACAGTTCGCACATACATACATACATACATACATACATACATACATACATACATACATACATACATACATACATACATACATACATACATACATACATACATACATACATACATACATATTGTACATACATACATACATACATACATACATACGTACATACATACATACGTACATACATAAACTTCTATCCGTGCTTTCATGTCTTTACATGCTCTAGTGACAAATGCTTAAGGACATATATATTTAGGTCGGACCTTTAATGCACAGGACCTTCACATTTGGAGGTCCCTTAATAACAAAGTAACACCAGTACAAAAATTTTTTATGTCAGTTGTTCTACACTTCTCCTTGTCTTCATTACTGCTCAACTACTTGATATGCTCTAGTTTCTTTTTTAATTTTTCCACTCTTTCTTGCACAACAGACCAAACTTTACCCACTCCTTTTTGTCATCTCTTAGTCACTGACGAACGTCGGGTGATGACGGACTTTGCTTCGTATAAATAAGAGGCGAAACGAACCAAGATAGGTTAATGGCTTCCTAGTACAACATGACGTAATTACATTTCTCAATTAGTTTCAAAATATTGTTCTTCATGGTTTATTGGTTAGTTTGGGCAGTATCGAATCATATTCGATTCCTGACCCGGTATGTGGCAGCGACCTCACGAGGGCTTGTGTCGCGCTCTCCAGTGCGTCGATGAGAAAAAATAAATAAAATAACAGCCAAAAAAGCAGAAAGTAAATAAAGTATCAAATATTTTGACAAGACAATAGGAATTGAGATGTAACTAATGATGAGAACGTTTCAGCAATCAGTCTTGGGTAGAGTGGAAGACAAAATCACTTTAGAAATCTTTTTTCACTTCATCATATGAGCTACACAATGTTTCCACTACCTTCCTAACCATTTACGTAAAATTACACTGTTAAGAGTTCGAGAATCAGAGCCTTGACAGAAACGGTACTTTCCGCTAGGGCGACATGCAGAGCTTGCAATTATTATTTCGAAAACCTATAAAAGCGAGACTGTTCCCGCGCACTCGGAAAACTAGCTGAGGAAATGAACAGTATTACAAATATATTTCTTCTGGAAATCCAAGTGCACAGAGCGAGAATCTATTAGTACAGATCGGTCACGCCTTTTGGGAGGGTGCTATGTAATCGGTTACTCAAGGATTTTGTTGGTTTTTCCGTTGTTCCCTTGAGTTGGCCCGAAAAGATGAGCCAAAATTGCAACACCCGCAAGTTCCGACCTCAATTGCCACCTTGATCTCATGATTTCATGAAATAAGTACATACTTATTACTGACGTTCTAGTGTTAACCCGAGGATGGAGCCCAGGCCTTCTACAAATGCACTGCTGTATATGATCAGATAACGGAGTACTGTGATTGATTGTCTCTTGTGTTTTATTTCTCGGAGTCTCATGTGGATCAGGAATCGATCCCTTCGACAAGGACATCAACGTGGAGTGGCCGCTGTCGGACAAGGTAATCGTGAGCGACCAAGACAAATGTCACCAAAGCTTTCAGATATTTTTCTCCAGATCGTAGCGCTATAGATAGTGGGCGATTCCAGTAGTATTTAGATTAGTTGATGATTCCAAGCAATATGAATCAGTCTATCTTTTTTAGTTACACTTGTAATGAGTACTACGTTATTACTATTTGTGTCAAATGGATATCAGCTCTTCTGCTAGTTGGTCAACTGGTGTCAAACGAGATATGCAAAGCAATGTCGTCGAGTGTTACATGATGTGGGAGTTCATCTGACCACATCAATAGTTACTTTTTTACATATGTTTCACTCTGAGAAAAGTGCTAGGCGAATACAAAGTGGAAATCTCAAGTCATTCCTCTCCTACGCAGGGAGAGCAACCAGCAAAGTTTCACGCAAACCACAATTTCGGGCAGAGCAGGGACATGCAGCGAGTTTCAACACATGAGCACATACACTTTCACATAGGCACACGTGCTTTCATTTCTGAGCATGATTACCATGCCCCCCCCCCCCCCCCCCCCCTCCCCCTCATGGAACATGCCACCTATGATACGACTTTCAGCGATAGGTCATGATCATGTAGAATGCAAGACGAACTCTATCTATGATCCCATTGCAGCAACGACCAGGATGGTGACTTTATTGCTTCACGGAGCGCTGTACGTACAAGTATCCACGACGTACAACTATCGTTAAGACAGGACACGCAACAAAACAATTACAATACGCAACCTGTTTGAAAAAGGCAAAGTAGCGACACCGCACGTCTTCCCTTTTTTCTCCACTCTTCTACTTCTCTTCCTTCTCCTGAGGAACAACATCCTTCATTTGTGTTTTGTTTCGAATCAAATTACACATTCCACAAAAGGGCCCAGATTTTCTTCGGAATGAGCAAGAGTTGCTAATGATTGGTTCCATCGTGCCGTCTTGTGCTCTCACAAACTGCTCGCCTTCGGTTTCGTGTGCCACGCGGATGTTATAGAATGTAGTACACAACACGGCTCGACATCACGTTCACCTCAAACTTGGGTAATTAAACCACAATACAAAACTTGGATTGCACTTGAACACAAAAACAAGATCAATGACATCAAAAAAAGAAGAGATCGTGCCGGAGGTGACTCACTGATTGCCGACGTGGATTGGCGGGCTTATACAGCCGGGACCCAAGACGACCTATTGTGCGCGGGATCCGAAGATCTCCGGCCCACGCAATTCCCACAAAGGGCATCGTGTTACGTCATTTCTGACTAACAATGTAGACAACTGAAACATAGAAACACATAGATTTAACACTAGAAAAAAGTTTATCAAACCTGACGAGTGTCATGGTCGCGTTCGCGAAAGGCTCAGAATAAGAAGTGCGCTCCTATCTGTCAACTTTTGTGGTACTGTCTGGGATGGTAGCCACGTTTAAGTGGGTTTGTCGCGGTCTAGACACCCTCTGATGCGTTCGACACGTGTTGACCTCAAGCTCCAAGCCCACCCTTTAGCGCAACACCAGTTATGCAATCCCAGCAAAATGGGTGAACTGGCTCCCACTCTCGTAGTGAACTACCAGAAACTTAGGGACAGTTGAATGGCTCCGCAGACTACGGCAGGCGACCTTCCGCGGAGGGATGTCGCCTTCAAAAAGAGCAGCTTTGAGAACGACCGTATAGCCTACTGCCCTGTTGCAATCAGAAGGTAATACCTGTCTATCACTAGCTGTATCAAGGAGGGTATAGTGATCCACTAGGAAAGAGTGAATGCATGACGAATAGAACAGGTGGCTGAAAATGCACAAAACAGAAATATCACCTGTATCACCTATCGTCAAGTTGATCATCGATACGATCAAGCTGGCGCCAGTGACAACTCCAATCGTCCCTCTCGCGGGACAGCCTAGTCCAGTGAGCCCTGTTCGCATAAATTCACTGAATCGACCATTCTTTTCATTCAGAGCTACACACGGCGGCCAACTGTTGGTGACTATTCTGGTAATCGTTCGACTTCCCGAGTGAATTGATTAGCACCCTGGCTCAAAGATCGGCTGCTGCTCATTCTGCCTCTGTAAAGCCCAGGTATCTGAGGCGTAGGCAAAAAAGACTGCAGAGTCGAAAACATAGACTCATAGCCCGACGTTGTTTGCCTTCTTCACCACTCCCTCAATTTCCTTGACTGCTCCTGTTTTCACTTCCTTCTTCCGCTCAACTTCGTAGCTTGCTCTTCCATTACATTGACTACTCTACAGAGACTCATGTAGCTGGGGGAGTGAGACGAGCATTAACATATTCTTCATTAGACTTATAGTACTCGCCGTAAAAACTCGAAAATTTACGCGATTCCGCGAATTCGCATCTTTTTCGTCTTCTCTCCATAAATCGGTTCAGAACGGAGTAATCCAAAGGCCGAAGATTTCATTGAATACAGCTTGCCGAGCTCCATGAGCTAGTACCCTGATGTGTTGAAAATGCTCCGTTTTGAATTGCGCAGTGTACTTGAGTTCCACCCGAAAAGTAATTGCGTGTACATGGGGTGTTCGCTTTGGTGCTTGTGGGGGTTGATTGGTCCCCCTCGATCGCTTTTGTTCAGTCTCCACCGTTCATTTCTAATGTGGGAGCTGTAGATGACTGCATCTGCAGTCTCTGCACTTGATACTCCTCCTTACAGTCTCCATCGAGGATATGACATCAGTTTACGGCGAAGCCATTCACGTGTCGGTTTTTTGGCATTTATCAGTCTTCTGAACGATCCTTCTCCGAAGTCGGCGTCGAGGTACTCTGATGTCCTAGATAACTCTTTGTTCTTTGCAAGACTTATGATACACCTAATCGTAGATCAAGATCCCTCTCTTGGTTTCCTCAAACTTCGCCCTTCGTCACGCCCAAATTGCAGAAGTAGGTTTTCGTCTTTTCCATTACATGCATATCCAAACAGGCCCAGCAGGGGACCGCTTAGCGGCAGGCATACGGCAGAAAATGGTCATGAAGGGAGATTGTCATCAAGGGTTGATCTATATATCATTAGATAACACTACTCACGGGGGTCTAACAGCGCTCAAATTAAATGCAAAAGGTCAATGGCAAGCTGAGCTCAATGGTATCCTTAGCTCTTGGATTACTCCACTCTGAATCGATTCATGGAGAAAAGACGAAAAAGACGCAAATTCGTAGTATTCGCATGAAGTTTCAGTTCTTACGGTGAGTACTGTAGTGACACTAACAGAGGGTCCGGAGAGATCTTACTGAGCAACCACACGCTCGAAGGCTTTTTCACGCGTGATCGCGTGATCTGCACATGCTTTTAAACAGGACTTTTTTCAGAAGAAAGAAGAAGGCAGAGGCGGCAGTCCCTTCAATCAACGGTATACCGCTGCGCTGCAATTCGAGCTAGTCCTATAATGATCATTCGAGGTCTGAGTTCAATTTGAACATTACGAATAGTTGTCTTTTTGAGTTTTTCTTTACTGAAGCAGATGATGTTGTTTTCACTTCACGATTTTTGTAGGACAGCCATCGTCTGCATCACACCTCACAACATCGGTTTCTCTCCAATACTCCACAGCGACATATTTTACCAGCTAATCGTGACGTCATATGAAGGTGCTGAGCGTGCTAACCCTTCGACGACAATGCCGACTTCGACGTGACGCGCCCATGGGACCACGCCCCTTCCTTTCGTGCGCGACTGACACCCACCGCTGGGTGCCATGCACGTAATAAACTTAGCAATACTTCCGCATGACAGAAGCATCAGACCTTATTTTATCTTATATAAAACTTGAGCTTAGAATTGCTTTTTGGGTTTGGAAACAATTTAGGTTAGAATTTCGGTGATAGTGTAAGCAGTAGGAATTCGTATAACATCCAAGGAACTTGAAAATGAAGAAATCGACCGCGCGGTCACATAATCGCGAATCAGGTATACTAAGTGCTGCCTCCAATGCTTCCAGGACACACACAAATTTTGCCAAAGTATCTAAACCTTTTCAGTACCACTCCATTGGCTATATATGTTTGTTATAAGTAAGCTCCTATAAAACATTCACCATGTTGGACCATGTCGAATATGAGTGCCATGAAGTTTGGTAATAAATATGAAAATGTTAAATAAGTTTCAAATGTACAAATGAAGGAAAGAAACATGGTGGCACTCAACGTTGGGTGCCATGGTCCCATGCGCCAGTCATAGTGGCACCCACCGGCGGGTACCACGGTCGTCAAAGGGTTAAAGAGCTGTGACGGTAGTACCAATTCGTTATCATAAGCGTGGGTGAAATCATGGAAGGATCAATGGGTTGAACTTGTTTCCTACTACCTATAACGTCAATCAGTAGGGTGTGGGATCTGAACAATTTTCTTCCTGCAAACAGCCTAAGTACACGTTTGTTGAACCCCACTATAACTGTGGGAGTCATCATGAGCGCATAGGTTTTACTAATTGATTAGCGATTTTGTCGGTCAAAAATTCGTTTTAAAGTTTCTCCTGCATCGACTGGGGTGCGGTCTACATTCCAAACATTGCAGTAGAATGCCCTCACACATTCATTTAACAGATGTATGAAAACTCCTTCCTGAAGAAGATTGTTGATCTGCCAGTTGAAGTCACAGTCTTTTGGATGGCACCTGTAGGAATCATCTTCTACAGTGGAAGTAGTAAAAATGATCTGACTAGAAGAACACTACCGCTCGCGCTCGGCTCAACACAAGAACACTTCCTTTCCTAATTTCAACCAATTATCTCTACACATGTTTACATGGCTTAACAGGAACCGTTGTTCTATTACTATCCGTGTTGTTGCTTCGGATGATTCCAAACACGGTGAGTGAAGAGCAGATTCATGGTGGATTGTAAAAAGCATGGTTTTGTAGCATCTTACGCAATATTTCCAGGCGGTCATGGTTACTGCATAACTCTTTAGCGGTTCAAGACAAAAGGCGAAATGCGACCGATTTTGCTCATCCGTGATGCAATTCCCTAATTTTGTTAAAGTAAATATCAATCTAGAGGAATTAGATCTAGGTGTAAGTGGTTTGCTCTTCGGTATCTCGCATCTAGTCCATTCTATCTTTCCTGAAA